GGGCAGGGACTCCCAAATCTGCATGCCGATATGAGGTGCAATGCTTCAGAAGATAAAATAACGGAAATTAATATGTCTGCTCTTATGTTCATTTGACATGCTGTGCTTAATTTTTTTCATTCTTCCTTACCTTTTTGCGTTAACAATTTGTCCCATGAGTTCTGGTATTTTGGAACAACCGGTTCAAGCCTAGAAGCACGATAAAATCGGTCAAAAACAAATTTTAAAAGCCATGTTAAAGCGCTCGGCGGACACACTCGCATACCATGTCAAAAACTACAAGAGCTGGAAACAACTTTTTTACCCCCCCCCTCTTTTTTTTTGTTACCTTTTCGTCCTTTTCTATCCCTTTCTCTTTTGCATGACCCCCCTTCCCCCCTCGTCAGCGCTTTCACTCGGATCTTCTCTTTATCTCAACCCCTGCCTTATTTCTATTATTTTTCCCTTTTCTTTCCACAGTTCTTCATTTCACTTCCTCAGTTATCTTTTTTTCCCGTAGTCCTTGAAAAATCACAACTCATTGTCAACGTGAACTTAACTCAATGTTATCGAGAACTCAAAATACCTTTTGGGTCTCGTGCGAATCGCTTAAAAAAATTACAGCTGAGAAGCTCAGGTGTTTCCAGATTGAGAGATAAACGGTCGTCTATGGCTGATCTGCAATCCAAAATAAGCCCATTTTTCGCATTTTACTTTTGTTCATTTGTTCCTTCTTTTTAGACTTTTTTTCGTGGATAGAGTGCTGATTTTCTCTTGAGTGAACGGACGTTTGCGAGATTGATTGTTGCATTAAATTGTTTGATTTAAAAGAAATGATTGGTGAGTTGTGTATCTTCCCTAGGAATTAGTTGATTTATTGGTTGGTTGGTTTCTCTCATGTTTGCATATCTTAGATCAGAAGTAAAGGTTTTTTTTAATACAAAGTATAGAACTATGAAAACAAAAAAGTACAGCACTTTTTTGTATTAAGTTTCTTGTGCTACTTGTGTTCTTTTACCCTGTGTTGGAAGCATATGGTTTTGATTTTGCTAATTTTTAAAAAGTTTAATACGGTCAGCTCAATGATCAATTTCATTTTAAAAAATTACTTTCTTTCTTCCTTTCTGATGAAAAGATTAGCGTGGTGATTACGAATTAAAGAACAAAAGCAAAAAAAAGAGGAAGAAAGTAAAACACATAAGCAAATACCATACATGCCATCTGAGAAGATAATATTTCTACTTGTGTTCTGTACAAATGGAAATTTAAAATTTGTATATTTGTGCTTAGAGAGAGAAAGAAAAAGAGAAAGAGAGAGAGGGAGATAACGAGAGAGAGAGAGAGAGAGAGAGAGAGAGAGAGAGAGAGAGAGAGAGAGAGGGAGATAGGGGGAGGTAACAGGGGAGGGGTGAACGTGGGAGGAATGAGGGGACCAGGAGGGGGAAGACTGTGCCCATGTGACGAAGAGAAGTAAAAGAGTACTGCATGAAATTTGGCCGTTTTTAAAAGAGCTTTTGGCCCCAAACTGAAGACAATCCGGGTTTACACCGAACCCCTTTTCATGGCAACTCAAGCGCCTTGGAATTTCAGTCACCGCAAAGACACTGTGTCAAGCAGTTCTTTCGCGACTGTGCCTAGCAAAACAGAAATTGCGACGTGTGTGAGACAGAGTGGGCTTTTACCTCACACCCCGTTTGGAGGAAGGCGACGTCAGTGAATTTTATCTTCAGGCCAGCGAAGTAAGTCGCGTGCCAGCGGTCTGCGCACTTGAAAAGCAAAGACCTTGGACACTCCTGTCGGTCTTCTCCGAGACGCAAGAGAATTTTTAACCCTTGGAGCAACCATTTGTCCATGGAGTCGGCGCCACCAGTGTGAATTCTATTCTTCCTTTCATCACATCGGCGTGGTAAGTGTTTTTTCTTCTCCAAACGTTTTTATAATGTTATAGATCTAAGATAGTAAAGTTTCTATTTAAAAGTTGTCATGCCATCAGAAAAATGTTAGAATCTAGATTAGATCTAGATCTAGATAATCTAGATCTAGATCTAGATCTAGATCTAGATATCTAGTAATATTTTGAGAAGGAGGAAAATATCATGTAGCTGCAATTATTTTTCCTGTTTTTTTAAAAGTTGTGAGGCTCTCCACCAATAGTGCAGTCAAAATTCGTGGTGCGACCTATCCTCAAATATCTCTTCAACTTCAACGGGTGAATCAATGTCATCCATACTTCACGCAGCAATTTGTATCAATTTGTCTTAATTAGATATATTAAATCATTTTTTCCAGAACAATTGTAGCTAGATTTTTTTAAAAACTTGTCTTTACTAATTTATATAAAATACTTGAAATCTGTCACACGTAAAATTACTTTGCTCACAACACTTCCCGCTTTTCACTTTTTTGGTTACGCATAAGGCATACATCACAGCTCATCACTGACCATTTTTAGTGGCTAAACTTTTAACACATTTTTTGCACAAAATAAGCATAATGTCCCGATTGGAAAAACATGACGCACTTGCTGTTAAAAGCAATATTGCCCCAGCTGTTAACATTTAAAAAAACCCCCCTGAAAATTAATAAGCCGGGGGGGCGCTTATTCGATACCTTAGGGGGTTGGGCATTTGGTTTCCTCATGCGCTGAGTAACCCCTAAACGGCCAAACATTTCAGAAGGTACTTTGTAATTCTTAGGTAGCGAAATGTCGATAACATAACAATTGGGCCAAGTAACTCTTGACAGGTTGTGCGAGTTTAATGTTTTTAATACTTTTGGAAGTGTCTTTCTGCCTGATGGGAATCTTGCAAGTTACGCAAACACTACGTTGGTATGTGTTGCTCTTGTTTTTTTGTTTTTTTTTCAGACAGTAAAATACGACATAGTGGGGTCGATTTTCGGGAGCTAACTTCTGACTTTACCAGCGTCTGTGGTGTAGCGGTCGGGCGCTTCGCAGTAGCACACAGATCAGAGTTCGATTCCTTTAAGGGGAAAATTTCTTTATAAAGTATTTCATGTCTTTGTGTTGAAATGTTGTACATGTATTCCTTCCAGTCCGGTTTGGCCTTGACAGGCAGGGTAAGAAAAAGGATATAAATTATGTCCATGGATGTGTAAGAACATTTACCCCCCCCCCCCTTTCACCTCTAAAAAAAGACTTATAAGCCAACTGTTTTTCTGAGTCTTGTTATGCACATTTATTGTATGCGTGCATCTGTATTTGCATCTAATAAGACTTATTCTACGTTTAAATTTCAAGGTGGTGAAGTGCCTTTATATTTGGATGTTCACTTTTATTTCAGCATATGGTTATTTTTCTTCTCATTTATATGTAAGCGTATAACAAGCTTTCTTTTAGTGAGTAGTTTGCTCGTGCTCTGGTGTGGTTTGCTCCATCTTTCCTATAAAAAAAATATATCGTCTCTACCTCCCCTCCTTTTGTGTCTGTTACTCTCTTGTGACACCTCAAATCTCAGGCACTTATATGACCTTATTGTGTAGCAAGTGCTGTAAAACTCTTACTAAAACTAAACTCTCACCCAAGAAATTAGAGTTGGCGTCTCTTTGTCCTGCATACGCTCCCCACCCACTTTCTACACCGTTTTCTATTCTACTCCACAGATCCAGCAGTCATTTGTTCCAGACAACGCAGCCATGAGCAAAAACGCCTCTTCCAGCTCCAGCTCAGCAAAATCGGGATTGTCCCGTCTGAGATCCTTGCTGAACTTTATTAACCGGCCCAGAAGCCGAGCCCCTAGCTTGGAAGCCCCGCCTGCTGCAGAGGAAAAAAACAGCGGACAGGATCGACGGACCAGCGAGCCGAACATCGGGGCCGGCAGTCGAGCCCGGGATTCTCGGGGTTTGTCCAGCACCTGGTCCTACTCCATGACGGACCCGTTCGAAGAACTGGGTAACCCGGCGGAGATGGAGAGGGAGTTGAGTGAAGACGAAGTGTTTCTTGACGATTACATCGAGGACGAGTACTGGCTGGACTACAGCTCAACCGACGAATGCGTGTCGGAGAAAAACTGTTCTCAAGTGGCTCCCAAAGTGAAAATGGGCATCTCGTCTTTGGAAAGGACGTCCAATGTCGAGCAGCGACGGAGGAGTCGTAGTAAGACAGGGATTCTAGACTTGAACCAGAAGACTAAAGACTTGGGCCCAAAACCAATGGATAACCCAATGACAAACAGGAATGAAGGTGGCTTGTCTGAGGTTTGCTCTCGTTGTACAGAAGATTCTACAAAGTGTACGAGTGTTCAAGATGAGTGCTGTAGTGTCTTACGCTCGTACAATAGGAAACAATGGACTTACCAGGGTGAAAGCGACGACCTGGATTTCATCGTGCGGAGGGACGCATGCTCGAGTGGGTCAGTGTCACCAATGGGCGTCCTGGTCCCTGACAGTATCAGCGACACGAACAATAACGACGTAAACTGCCCGAATTTTGAATCCACTTCCAAGCACTTGCGAGCTGCTCCGACAACTGTTACCATTAAAGTGGACGTCCATTGTACAAGTACTGAGGAACAGCACATTGGAACAGAACCAAATTTGGATATGGAGGCGGTAGAGGAACGTACAAGCCTCGATGTCGTGGATCTACAGGTTGCCAACGAAATGCAGCCGTCCTCTGGAAAGACAAACAAAAGCCCCGACTCAGAAGACGGGATAAAACCTAAAGGTCACTTTGACGCACAAGAAACGTCAAACACCGCTCATGTTGGAAACGTGTGCGAGAAGACAATGGGAAAGTCTTACCTGCAGCGCACTGGTTCCAGCAGCGATGGGGACAGTCCTGTTCTGAAAAAGGATAAAGATTCGTCACTGTCTGATTTCTCCCAGCTTGTTTTGTCCAGTCCGGGTTTCCCCACCTCACCACAGACACACCTGTACCGTCCCATCAGCAGTAGGCGGGAGTCTGGGTATTTCAGCAGAAACAACACCCCTAGTCCTAAAGGAGAGCTGCGCTTTACCTACCCCAGGCCCGCCTCACCGCTGGAGTATACGCACAATGTGGAAGAGCTGTCGAAGCGAGGAGGAGAGCAGGCGGTATACCAAGTGCGAGAGACTGAGCCTGAAGTGGCTCCTGTGAACATCTCAAAGATCGGACTGGCCTCCCCGTCTACCCTGGATCAGTTTGATGGCATTAACGCGCTGTCTGCACCTCGGTGTCGCCTCACGAAAACCTCCAACTCTGCGCAATCAAAGAAAGACCTTAAACAGTTGAAAGAAACATGCGAGCTGTCTGTCAACTACAAAAATACCGAAGAGCCTATGGTTTCGGGGTCTACGTCAGACACAACCAGCACAATCTCATCTGCAGTGGAAGTACCTTCGGACCTGCATGCGTGTCCAATTGCAAAGAGAATTTTCCCAGTCTTAGCAACAAAATCAAAACAAAATGTACCGAAAGAAAGGTGCACTGCTCTTAGCACTGTAAGTGCCAACCGAGGACCCAAAGAGGAGCCAGAAATGCCTTTGGACTTCTCCAAGAGTCGAACGCCAAACAAACCATTCCGACAAGATAGAGAATCCACCGTGGATACAAGCGTAATGAGCTGCGCAAGTCCCGTCTCCAAAATGAAGGTGCCAACTCCAATATCATCTAGCTCCCCTCTGCACAAGTCGAGTCGAGCAGGCCTTTACCCCAGCGCTGTGGCCGGCGACGCCAATATAGCACAAGTACCGGAAGTGTCGCCCGTCCGGCCCAGACGACCTGGACTGGAGAAAAAGCGGCGCCGGAAACCCGATTCTCAGACCAGAGCTGGCAAGGAACGGTCTTCCAAAGGTTCCAACGAGAGCGGATCGGGAAGGAAGGGTGACGTAAAGCGAGCGAAATGCGATAAAGAAAATGTGAAACCCGCGGAGAACCAGACGAGGTTTGCTCCCAGGTCCACCCATCCCTTTTCTCACAACTACCTTCTTCTCAAACGGACGGCAGATTTCATTATCCTTCGTATCCCGTCCTACAATCAGCTGTGGGAAGATTTCGACATTCCAAAGCTAATGGAGTATCTGAACGCGTATTTTCAGTCTGAAATAAAACGGCTCGCTGACAGTAGAGTGCAATCGATTTGGGATCTTAGAAACCACAAGGAGCAGCAAGCAGCCGCCGACAGAGACTTGTGTGTTCGCGACTCTGTGCGGGTTCTTTTGTCAGCCTGCTTGCTGGCGGATCTGCTCATGGCTCGAACCTGTGCGGACTTCATGCTCCAGAGACTTTCCGAGGTGTGCTCTGACTGCCCAGATTTTATGTCAGCCTCGCCGGAAGTTGTTCTCATGGTACTCTGCAACGAGGAGACAACGGTGCAAAACCCCCAAGGCTTCCCTCTCCCTTACAGAGAGTCCGAAATAGAAGTGTTAAAAGCGGCGAGCAAGTACGTCTTGACCAACAAGACTGACAATTCAGAGGCTAAACGTCGCATCCGTCGACTCCTCCAGTCAGCGACGGATACATCTGTCCTGGACACTGTGGAAGAGCCACCAAGGTCATTCATGCAGCGTGTACTCCTAGGACCGCCAGAACCGCCCCCCAGGCAGGTTCCCAATGGTGCTGAGAACAGGCCCCCGGCTTACAGACGACTCGCATTTCGCCCCTATCACGAGACCCGTTACGAACGTTCCAAACTGTGCATCACGGCGAAGAACACCCGTCAAGAATATCTTCTGCAGCCTTTCCTCTCCAGCAACCGCAGAAATAGGGCGGATGCAGCGGTGTCGTGTTTACCCGATGACGTAGTTCCGGCCAACGTTGAAGTGATGGAAGTGTGCAACACCACTCACACGCTGAAGAAACTCACCTTCTATTACAGAACCCACAACGGAGTCCCTTACATCACGCGGATTGAGATGCAGTATTCCCGGAAGAAAGGAAGACGCAAAAGGTGCGTGCTGGGTGGGCCATTACCTGAAGCGTCTGTTACCGGATGCTCGACCGATGGTGGCAGCGCTGACACTTCAGATAGTGGTGTATACAGCAGAAGCACAAGTATAAGCTCATCCTCGTCGCTGATAGGACAAGACGATTCCTCTGGGTTGCTGCATGGTCAGGACGCTGCTCTGGGAGCCGCAAGGTCGCGTGAGGACAGCAACGGACGAGGCGGGGAGAAAAAAAGCAGACCCGTCTTTCTGAGACGGGGAGAGCATGTGATCGGAGTAGCTGTACAGGGAGATGCTGGTGAGTTAAAAGAGTTCTCAGTTTGGGAAGACGGGTGGGGGGGGGGGGGGGGGGGCGCTCACATTTAAATCTAGCCCCCTCTAGTCTTACTTTTCCCCTGAACTAACTTATCGTTGTGACGATGTGCTCTTTTCTCTCCATTTGTCTAGCTCCCCATTTGTCTAGCTCCCCATTTGTCTAGCTCCCCATTTGTCTAGCTCCCCATTTCTGTCTAGCTCCCCATTTCTGTCTAGCTCCCCATTTCTGTCTAGCTCCCCATCTGTCTTGCTCCCCACCTCTGCGGACGTTCAACTGTGAATCGCTCTCCCTCTGCTTTGAGGTGCTTTTAGTTGTGGTCTGCATGCCTTTTTTGTAACGATTTTAGCTGTTACTGTATGATGATGACCATCAATGATTTATTTATAGAGGCACCAAATAAATCATTGATGGTCATCATCATACAGTAACAGCTAAAATCGTTACTGTAATGGTTGCCCTAAACTACTCACATTTTTTCTGCACACTTATGATCCCATAGTAACATGCACATTGCAGCAGGTGCAATCCTTGTAGTGGCAAAATATTGAACTTGAAGTTTGAGATACGATATGCATATAGCATACTTTTATTTTCAATCTCCTCTTTTCCTTCCTTTCTTTCCTTGTTCTGTCTCTTCTACTTTATTGAGTCGATAGTGCAGTGAAACACCTACTAAAACATCTACTTTAATTGCGGCTAAGACAAGGGCATGGAACTTGTTGAAAAACAATGCAAGTGGAAGAGCTTGGAATTGTAAGTTTGGTTGTGGGGGGGTTGCTTGATCTCGGTGCAGGGGTGGGCTCCGCAATCATTAGCTTGTCTTCCTCCCAATGTGTCATGAAATAAGTTGATGTATACATGCGCCATATCACTCAGGAAATACTTTTGCATTTCTTTATCTCATCATTAATGCCTTTGCGATTCTATTTAATGCCCATATCCTGTTTTTTCTTCCAGTTCTGCAGAACATTGAGATTCGAACGAATTTAGGCCGGCGGATTTGCGCGCATAATCTACCGTGCCCCGCTACGTATGCACAGTGGTCAAACGTCTCTCTTCCTCTCGGCGGCTCCCCGTACTGCCTCCAGGCGTTCCGTGCAGACGTCAGACGGCCGGAACCCAATCGGACGTACATCCGGAACCTGGCCGCTGTGTGGGCCGTGACGTCACGACCCCTCAACAATCTCAATGTGTGAGGGAAGTTCTTTTAAAAAGTGCAATCGTTTAAATTATGTTTTATCTCGGTATGGATGAATGTAATTTTTGAATGGATGTTATCTTAGTTAATAATATAAACGCTTAATTTTATAGAATAGGTTTCTGAATGGAATTTGTAGGTCAATTCTGTCAAAAGTTGTAAACGCAATATGAAAATCTGTGTTCAGCTAGGTTGTTAATATACGTAATTTTATGCACCCGGGCAACCGGATTTGTACTAGGGATTATTTTACTATGGGACATAACCAATCGTGTGAGCTAATTTTAAAATGCGTGAATGAGATTTGTATGTGTGAATGTTTGAAAGTGGAAATATAGTGTATTATGATGTGAACGAGTTAAAATTATGGAACCATCTGGTTTAATTTTAAAAATGGTGGGTGGGATTTGTTTGAATTATTAATCTTGACGTAAGGAATTTTATCAAAAGTAAACTTGAGGGCGTCATGAGACCAAAGGAACACTACCCTTAACGGCCGTAACTGCCCCGAGTATAAAAATAACCGCACTCCCCCACGATCGGGTTAAACATCGGGATTACGATAAGTTTTGAGAATGAAACAAATTTAGACGGCCCACATGTCCTGTGCACTTGATCAAATATTGGACACTTTTGAGTCGTATCACGAAAGGAATGTTTGTTGTGGAAATTAACTCTTTTTCCGATACTATCCGGTGAGGGTGTGGTAAGTAAAGCTATCCTGACACCAAAGGAGATAATATTACTCGTGCGTTAAGCTCTTGAAAAGTAGTGGGGGAAAATTCCACCCGTTGGTTTGGTCCTTGAAAGCCAGTGGAAATTCCAGCCACGGCGAAGCCCGTCCTTGACCTAACACACGGCTAAGCTGCAAGAACTGAACCGAACCTTAAACAATGTGGGACTAGTCGTGTGTTAAGTCTCAGACTGCGCTAGTTTTTTTCCCCCACTTCCACCCTTACCCCGCCCTCTACTCCCGTTATCTCGGTTATTTTTTCCCTTTTTCTCTCCTTCCATCCGCAAACGCCCTTTTCGTTTCCGATTATCTTTGTTCCAACACCTCAGCTTTAAAGACTAACAAGAAAGTTGAGAGGTGTTCCTTCCTCAAATCCAAAGTATAATACCGTGTAAGTGCATCGGAAAATAACTAGAAATAATATTTAACGTAAAGATAAGACTTAAGTCATTGCGGCTTGCAACTGTCCAATAATAGAATTCGTGCATTGTATTGGGTGCTATTTCACTATTTCGTCACACGCTGCTCCCCCTCAAAACTTTTCGTTAAGACAAATTTCCGTTCGGCAAAACAAAGCGCTTCCTTATCCTCTTTGTTTCCAAGATGGTCTCATGACGCCTATTTGTCACACAAATATTTAAAAAATGCAGGTTTGCCACTATCAGATATAGGGTATATTACTCACTCTGCCACTACTACCAATGGTTTAAATACTAGTAGCGACTGCAGTAAAAGAAGAAAGTACTTAAATTCCATTGTATAAAAATGTATTGTAAAAGAGCATACCTAATCACAAATTGTACAGAATGTGTTTCTCTTTTAACGTTATTAGTATACCATTGGGTCGGGTCGTGGTCTCCTATCGTGGTTACAGCTCAAAGATCCTCAAATGCAGTTGAGCACTTCATTTTGATATTTTCATTTTGATATTTTCATACTTTATATGTTCATTTCTGTTCGTTTTGTCTACAAACTCTTGTCTACTCTACTCATGCAGGGTTGTTCGCTTTAGACGTGTCAAGTCTTTCTCTTAATATCTCAATTCTGCTTTTTAGCACTATTCCCTCACATATTTTTAAAAGAAAATGGAGAAAACAAAAGAAACGTCAGTCCTGTCAGAGACGCTTCAGTCATTGTGGTCTTAAGCCTTTTGCCTTTTGATAACCAGTGTCAAGGTATGGATTCTTACTCAAGTGGTATCTCTGGCTGAAATGCCGATACGTTATCTGCCCTAATTGAAGAGCCAATTTTCCTTTCACACGTTTCCTACCTGGGGAAATGTTAACCCTTTCTCAAAGTTCTCTTGTCAAAATGTTCCACCTAAAATATATTAATTTATGATCCAGCCCTTTTGATGCTAACCAGAGATTCGGTGACATCAACTTCTATGCGTGTGTTCCCTTCTCTTCTTATTTGCTCAAGGTGCAGTGGACACTCGACAAATACCAATTTGTGTCAACCTAAACGTAAAACTAACTTAGAGGAGGCCGTCCTTCCTCCCTTATCATTTTTCAAGTCTTTCAAACATTCCTCTCCGAAACAGACAAAATGACCTTGTCATATAGGATATAAATATAGCGTTAATTGGCACGATTCATTAAGACACATCATAAATTCCACAAATTCCACAAGATTTTTTTTTTCAATGAACCTACTGGTTTTCATAAATTTTTACCAATTTAGTGGTTGATTGTCCTGATCTCGTTAGAATTAAAAATTACATTTTGTGGCGTGTTAATCTATGGGCTACGACTATTCTAAAATCACAAAGCTGCTCATAACAATGCCAACATTAAGCATAGCTTGTTCCCCCAGTGTCGGTGTTGCTATGGCAACCACAGCTTTATAAAAGTTAAAACTAGACTGGTATAAAGTAAACACTTCATACAATGTTATTAATGTTGCTTGCCCTAGAAAGATGGCTAGTGAAATAACTATTGTTTCTGTTTGTTTAGTCAGTTTTACTGTGGGCCAAAAAATCGTAAAAGCCATTTGGTTCGGAGTTTAAAATGCAAATGATCAGCAACTTCGGAGCTTCGTTCCAGTCATCTGTTGATACCAAACCTATCATAACCCGGCTGAAACCATTCTTGTGTTCTAAAACAGCACCTTCCCTTTTTCTTTCTGCATGCACCAATGCTCGAACACACTCGATAGTGCCGTAAAACACCTACTCAATCGAAAGCACACACGTTTTCTTTGTCAGGAACGTAATCAATAACCTACAGAAAATTAGCAAGTTATTGTAGAAAAACATCCTTTTATCGTCTTTGAATGTTTTTTAGAATGTGAAAGAATAAGGCTTGTGTACTTTCCTCTCCCAGCTCGCCCCTTTCCACCACCTCCCTTTTCCCCCTTAATTTTACACCCCTCCCCCCCCCTTCCAAACTCTCTTCCTTTTTTTGCTATTTATTTTACCATATCAATCTTCTATTACAACCGCCTGTGCTCGCTATTTTAGTCACCATCTAGTTAACAAGTGTGCAATGACATGCCATGAATATTTATGAGATTACTGTCCAGTTCACAGGTTGCTATGTAAAGGGCCACATTTTAGGTTCCTCTACAGTTTCAATAGATTTCGTCATCATGCTCGACGATACAGCTTTGTCAACATTTCGAGCACTAGCTTAATTCCCCCAGTGTTGACAATGGTGTTATCGAGAAAAAATAAGAAATGTCGTCTTTTTGCTTATTCGTGGCTTATGTTCCCTTATATAGTGCCCCTGCTCTCTTCCTTCGTCCTTTTCCTTCATCTTACCCCCCCCCCCTCTCGGCTTTCTGTTTTGATCTCAAAATTGATAAACGAGTGGCAGCTATAAATCGTTTTTCGTGAAATCTCAAATTTGTTTTAAACTGTGGCCAACATCTTAAAGTAAATCGTAACCATAAAATTTGCTAAAATGATCCTTTTGAAGTTCATTTATTGAAATACCAGGATTAAAAATTCAAATTGACATGGACCGGAATGAGGACTTTTGTCTCCCGTAAGTCAACGGAGTCCAGGCATAAGTACAACAAAATCAACATTATAAGTGTAAGCTTATTCCCCCAGTGTTGGCGTTGTTGTGTTTATCCGAACTATTTTGTAACGACTTTCAGAGGTACCTAACAATAACCGCACCTACTCCTTCCCCTCCCTTAGCCCCACCCTCTCCCCTCATACATGTACATCCCATCCTCTCCCCTCCCCCTACCCCTCCCCTATTCCTCCTACCTCCCGGAGTCCTGTCTTTTAGTGAAGACCTCCATTCCTGCCACTTGATTTCCCTATCTCCAAGAGTAGACTTCGCGAAATAAAGTTGGCTTGAAAAGTCACGTCCAATTTTGCTTCTCCAGAACGTTTGCACTTGAGTGGGTAAACAAGATACCAACAACGTCTTTGTTCATAAACGTTAAACATGTCTGATATCGTTCCCCCCAGCCTCAGAGGGGGGTATGCCGAATTTTTCATTTCACTTAAAAGCTCTTGTTTGAATTGCACTTCTAGATTACGTTTATCCCCGGGCTAGGTAAGAAGCAGGCCAGGGTAGAGACATTTTATGAATGGCGAACACCGTAGTAGATAGGCCTGCAATGTTATGTTCAGCGTACAACTTACATGCAAGCGTCTGCGCTTTCCTAATCGCCACCCGATCCTTAGTTTTGCTGAGATCAACACGCTTGTAAGTTTTAAGGAATCGTGGAACCCCCCACTTTGTCTTTTTTTTGGCAAAATCCTTCTTGCAGTTCTTATCGCCAGTCAACATTGTCGACAGTAAGGCTTCGGTCTTTTCCCCCACTGTCGGCAATGTTAATTGGTCTGTCCGGACTTTTCTGTCCGTCTTGCGATTTTCAGACTCTACATGGTTGTGTCGATGGGCTTCTTTACTCCAAATCTTCCCCTGCACAAATTATTGTCTAGTCCAAGCTACTTAAACATTGCTTTGCTTCGATTTGCATAAGTACTGATTGTATTTCTGAGGTAACAAGGTCAACAATAAAGTTCCGGCTTTTTCCCCCATTGGTGGCAGTGTTGCCTTTCAGAAGTTTCCCGCTCAACTATTAACTCTCAAGGTAAAAGTAAAAAATAAGCTGTTTTTTTCATTTGTAAGGTAAAGTAACGTAAAATCATTTCTCACGAACCCATACTTCAAAAGAATTGTGGGGGGTTGGAGGGCCCCACTGGTTGGTAGAACTTTTCTTTCCCCCTGTTTCTATCTTGCTGTTTCACCTGCATTAAACAACCTTTATTGAGTCTTTGTGCTTCTCTTCACTTGTGCACTAAACAATTGGGTTTTCTAGCCCCAAACAATCGCTTCTCAGCCTTTGGCAGAGATCAAAGTGGAGTATCTGTGCTTTTTCAAACGTGTGGGGTCTATAAAACGAGTTTTTCCGTCACCTCATCAGAAAAAAAAATGAAACCGGTTTATTTTATTTCAGCAACCCAAAAAGCAGGTTAAAAGTGGGTTTTTTTAAAAAGTTGAGCAAGACCAACATTTCAATGTTCGACATTTGTTTCCCCCAGTGTTGGTCTTGCTAGAACTTCCAGACTCAACACTTGAGATCTTACAGATATTGTGTTTGGCATTTAGAAACAACATAAGGACAATAACCCAAGCCGCTCAGCGTTATGCTCAAAGAGATTACAAAAAAAGAAAAGGAGAAAAAGACTGCAATGAACAACCACAATTTGATTTCTGTTGACCCAAAAGGAATGATCCTAAGTAGTGCATAACTCGCGTGAAGACTAATTTATCCCTTTCCCACGCCATTCACTGCCCCCCCCCCCCCCCCCACTTATTTTGCTCTCAGATAGCGCACTTTCGCCCTTTCCGATAACAAGGTCAACAGTAAAGCATTCACAGCTTTGTTCCCCATTGTTGGCAATGTAATCGCCCGCCACGAAATAGATGTTTCTTTTTCTATATGTCCATTCAGATGCAAGAATAATCTTGCATCTGATTGGACGTCTTTAAGGAAAACACCTCTTCTTATCGAAGTTCGCTAGGAAACTTAGGTTAAAACCAGATGCTGTTTTGACAACTCTTGATTGCTTTGTAAAACAGAAAAAAATATAGCATAGAAACGTGGCTGCTAAAGCGGGGACCTGTTTTTTAAAATAACTTCCTTTCTGTACTGCCAATAAAACAAATAATCTTAATGAATAATTGTAAAGTCCCAGGTTTCTTAACAAGACCAACATTCAATGCTCTGCATTGATTCCCCCTGTGTTGGCCGTGTTCGAAATCCTTGTTTTGCAGACTCATAAACTCTATTGAGTTAAGTACTGCGTAAACTGTTGCAGTTATTGTAAATATGGCAGTCTCCCTTACTCAAAATCGTGTTCCACTTATTCCGAAAGCCACCGTAGAAGCAGAACATTCGGCAAGTAAAACGTGAACATAGATTTGAAAGTTATACGACTTACAAATAAGAGTAAAACCACTAATATTGCTGAGAATAAGTGTAAGGGGGTTCTTAAATCAAATTTATGGGAGTTCTTGTATGGCGAAGAGTGTAAAAAAACTGGCGTTTATAAGTTGATTCGATCGGTTTTCTGGCACCCGCAAGTCTTAAAACGCGCCTGTTGGTAAATTTCTTGTGACAAACATACGAGGGTAGGAAAGACAGCAAGTAGTGACAGAAGCAAACTGTACCAAGCACCCAACAACCGCACCCATTTTCAGAAACTGTTCTGTCACTAAGTCGTTAAGAACAAGACCAACATTCAGCGCAGTGCGTTGTTCCCCCAGTGTTGGTAATGTTCTTTCATGTCAAGTGATGGAACTGTTCACGACCCTTTTGCACGCTAGATTAACACCCCCCATCCCCTTAAAAAAAGAAAACAAGAAACAAAACAGAACAAAACTTCGTATTATCTTGCCCCATACCGATACGTAGCTACTTCACTAGCTTTATTTATGAAGACGATGTTTAGTGCATAGCTGTCTTGCCCAGGAGTAACTGTCTGGTTCGTGTGTAACTGTCTGGTTCGTGTGTAACTGTCTGGTTCGTGTGTAACTGTCTGGTCCGTGTGTAACTGTCTGGTCCGTGTGTAACTGTCTGGTCCGTGTGTAACTGTCTGGTCCGTGTGTAACTGTCTGGTCCGTGTGTAACTGTCTGGTCCGTGTGTAACTGTCTTGCCCTCAGCTCCGTATCAGCTCCGAAGTTCCCAAATAGAGTTGGCACATCGATTAGGTACCGAAGTTTTTGAATTTGTCAACTTTCAGGTAACAAGGTCAACAAGGCATACGCTTTATTCCCCCATTGTTGGCAGTGTTTCCAATAGCACATCCGTAAGTCCCAATAGAAAACGCCTTTGAAGTTGGAGACTCCAATCCTGTTCAAGTCTTTTTTCCTTGTAGGTATTTGTGTGCATTTGCTACCTTAAAAGTCTTTTTCTCAAAATCGACATTTGGCCTTCTTCCCCCCTCCCCCCCTCCCCCCAAACCCAGTAATTACCAGTATCTTGTGAAGTCGTCCCGTAACTTTTCAAAGCGATTAGAGCGGTGACCATGTCAACAATTAAGCCTTGGTCTTTCCCCCCATCGTTGGCAAGGTCTCCGTCTTCAGCTTTCGCCTTTTGTACTGCTGTATAACATGGGTCCCAATATCACTTTGTCTCTCATCAGAGGTTCTGTACACAAGCCTTGCGATTCTTTTAAATGGAATTGATTCTCGACTTATCAACTTGTGGGCTGGGGCAATGAATTTTGGTGTGTTCCAGTTTTTAACATTATTAATCAGATCTGATTACAATAGTGAAAGTTCTAGAACTTTCCATGAATTTTCTTCCATTTGGGCTCTGGTTCAAGACCAGATATTACTTATTGTACATATTATTTCTAATACCCTTGCACTTTTGCCACTCTAGGTTTGTTCGATGCGCGTGCCATTTCACCCCAACCTGGAGAATCCATTTTAATAACATTACTATGTCAATTTTCCTTCTGGGATCTAGCATTCAGTTTTTGGACAAACTCGTCAAAAAAAAAGAAATAGCGGAAATTAAACAAAAGAAAAGTTTGTGCAGTGATCATGGGTTAAGTGATGCCTTGGTTGTTTCAATAATGTCGCTGGCGTAAGCATTTAGATGTTTTTCCCCCCGGAAAACTTTAAACTCTAGCAACTTGTATTCAGCACTAGACAAATAACACATGCTAATTCTTGGGTAACATTATCCGCGTTAAAGCATTGCCTTTCCCCCAATGTGAACAATGGAAGACTTTTGGAAGACTTTGTTTTTGTTAGCCTGTGCCCTAAAACCCTGAAACAAGGATGTTTTGATTCTGATTCTGCAGTCTTTGTTCAGTTTTTGTTCCTGTCTCTGCTGTTTGGTTCATAAGATAACATTTTCCACATTAAAGCTGTTGCTTTTCCCCCAGTGTGGATAATGCTGTCAAAATGAACTTCTTTAAAGTTTTAAACCAGTTTCTAAGTGTCCTTTAACCGTGATGTTTTCATTCCTTGTTTATGCAGTTTGTTCGTGTGCTTAGCTGCTTGGTTCATAAGATAACATTTTCCACACTAAAGCGGTCGCTTTTTCCCCCAGTGTGCATAATGCTGTCAAAATTGGACTTTCCAAAAAAATTGTACCTGTTTTCCATATGTTTTTAAATCCTTGAAAGTGCTTTTGATTTCATGCCATTGCAATTTCGTGTACGTTCTGTACCGCACAAGTTGGTTCATAAGATAACATTCTCTACATTAAAGCTGTAGCTTTTTCCCCCAGTGTGGACAATGCTGTCAAAATATTGAACTATTTTTTTTGCATTTTTGGGGTTAGTTTGCACAGCAGAATGATTAAACACTTGACGTCAACATAAGTACGATTAAAATTGTTTTGCTTGTGCCGCTTTCAAAAGATTTCAATGCCGACATTCAAGTAACAGCCTCCACCCTCTAAGGACAATGTTATCTCAAACTGAACTCTTTAGCTTAATGTTCAACTCAATAGTTCAAGGTTTTTCAACAAATACTACATTAAATAGTGTTTTTAAAAATCTGGAAAAGACGCACGTAAAATCTAAAAAAAAAAAAAAGAAAAAAAAGAGAACTTTGTTTCATTTGGTCTAAATTTCTTTAAACTTAAACAATAGTATTTCGGTTATGTATCTCTGTCAAGCAGCAACTGAACTATCGGTTGAGTCAAATGAGGCAGCTTGCATTAAGTACAATCACTAGTTTTTGTCCCGAAGATTTGAGTTGTAGTTCCATTTTTTTGTCTTCAGTAAATTATAATCTGCATAGTATGTCTGAAATGGCTCCAAGATGTAAACCCGAAATGTTCAACAAAATGTGCTGCAAGTACCTTTGGTCACTTTTATTCTTGCTATCTTTATATTAGTGACTTGGTCATTGTTGCTGTTTATTTTACCCACAAGTAGCACCGAGTTCTTTGTTCCTGCATGTCAACCAGCATGGAACGGTACCAATCCCC